CTTGAATCAAACTTTAGTTGGGCTTTTACTAATCTTTGTCAAATCTGTTTGACAAAATTCCAATTTATTAAACCGTTTGAAGTTAAATTACGAAAAATTGCGTCAAAGAAGTACCTTGATAGAGTTGCAATATATTACTTTTTAACTATTGATGCTTCATTGTGGACGTAAAGTGAGTAAAACCGATTATTCTGATTGAAGCTGCTAAATCGAAAACGTCAGCTTCTATTCGAACGTTCATTTTATAATGAAGACAATTATATTATTTTCTTGAGGATATGCATGCAACCGATGGTTCTTAATTTTTCCCGGCTTTCCAATCGTTTGCGCTTGTTCGCGTGACTTGATCTGAACCACCAACACTGAGAAATTAGTTCCTAACGAAGCTTCGCTAATTATACTATTCGACTAATTATAAATTTTAGCGATTCGCCCCAGCAGTTGTAGAATATACATTTACGGAAACGTTTTCCTTGCATGTTAGAGTGCACCTAGGTCATTAGGCACGGTCCATGACATTAAAGTAAAATCAGTTCCATAACGATTTGCTTTTGAAAGGAAAAAGAGGGATTTTAACTGTTGGAATGTTTACCTTTCTTGTGCTTTCATGATGGGGCCGACGAACAACTGCCTGTCGACTGAACAACCCAAATCTGAAGCAGCGCGTTGTGAATTCATTGCATCAGGGAACTCATGGCTATGACAACGATGTCTCTCCGTCAGAATCGAACCCAGAAGCCCCGGAAATCGAAGTCGATCTTAGAGGCACTATGCTTCCACACCACACTGTTTTCCGCTTGTAAACCGCTGAGAGTCGAATTGCATACCTATCATCGCGATGTTCGTGAGAACGATTGCGACCTTAAATACAAATTTTGAGACACCTGACAGTTTGAACGAAGAAAGAATGATCAAATAACTTCAGAAAATTATTTTATGCATTAAAATTTTTACAATTCAAATTCTCAGCTTCGTTCCCCTCAGTGTCCTTTCCATTTTAAATACATCCGGCTGAATGGTGATACAGAGTGACGCAAATCTTGATGAATGTCTGAAAACATCATAATCCATTTGTGAACGTATGTTTTCATGTTCAGATGCATGATGCTTGTTCATCTGAAGTATTTTTGGCATAGCGGCATTCTGGTCGCCTTCACTGCTCATTAAATAATAAAGGAGTTCAGTGGTTCATGAGATTATTAAGTTTTGTAATAGATGTAGAAGCGGGCAAGTCTACGAACATTGTAACCTAACTCTCTAGTTCCATAGAACCGCAATTGAGCTAATGAGGTGTGATTCTTGGTGGCCAGCGAGAACTGAGTTATCTCCCGCGGTGTTTCTACCAGAGTTAATCGATAGATGAATAACTGTTTCAAGAGTGGAATTCTCAGCTGCATCATTCCACGCTCTTTATTGCATAGATACATTTAAGCTAACCACTGACCGTCGAATTTGAGCATTTGCGGTGATAAACCCATCATTTTGCTGGCTTGAGTGATATATTGGTAGGTACAAACGATGCTTCGCAGTTACTATTCCATACATTCTACTACATAAATCTAAAAAGTATGAATCCGTACGCCGAAGTTTGTCAACTGACGAATTACTCATTCAGTTCAAGATTTTCTTCCGGGTACATATAAGGATCATGCTTATCTATACAATACTCCCATGGGGCAATATTGGAAGAAACGCTTAAAAAATACGAAAATTCTGCCTAAGACACGGTATCGCAAAGGATTACAATTTTCGCGAACAGATTGGTAATCTAATTCGATGGATTTGGTGCAAGATGTTCCTCCTATAGAAATCAAACGTAGTGGAAGTTATTCGAATGAAAAACAAAGGATCGAAGGGTCAGAACGACAATTTACTTAAATATTGGGAGTGCATCAGCACGGAACGGAGAAGATATGTGAGTATTTGACTTTGGTTAATACCGAAGTCAGATACTCGACAGACAAAGCGGCGTCGTTTAACGTTTAACGCTTAACGTTTAATTCCAGGAGGTTAGGGTTAGATTGACACCCTTGTTTAAACTAATACTCATAGCAACTTCAGTCTTAAGGTGAATCAGTAAATGTTCCTTAATCATTTAATAAAACCGTTTTGATCATTTGTCTGAGGTCTTAGAGAATGTCACCGTTATTTTCTTCCCTTATCATCCTTCCCTCACATCAGAATTTTTGGTAATAATTACTGAGAAATACTACTTTCAATTCGATAAATGAGTACTACTCTGTGATAGGAAAACAGGACATCATGCAGTATGTTTGCCGCATACCCGCTGCCGACTCTGCCTTCAAATTAATGGCATTCATGAGACACAAATGGATGTTGAGTCTAGCCACCATTAACTTTACTGAAAGCGTGCCAAAATGACCTCATCATGAAAGTGTGAGTAAGACCAACATTCCAACGGTTATAAACTTTCTTTTCCTTCCCGAACGAAACGACACCGCATAACGTAACATTACATCTGCCTCTGTTGAATAAATATGCCGAAATACGTAATGAAACGTAAATGAGTATTAATATATTTTACCTGAACTTTCGATGTTCCGCCATTCTTGACACAAATGCGGCTAGAAAAGACGATGAAACTTGATAAGATAATATTGAAATTAGTGATAAAGAAGCGAAAGCTATTAGATGCTATTAAATATTAGATAATTATTAGTACGCTCTGACACCACAGGAGCTAAAATACAATTGAGCAGTGGTCCGTTCAAATGTCCTCCAGGCAACAAGGTCCAGGTGGTGGTGCAATACGCCCTGAAATCTGGTCATGGAACCAGTCATGCTTATACATGATATCTTCATGACGACGAGATGAGTATGGCTAGAAACGTTGGTGGTTTCTGTAAGAACGTCAAGCGGAGCAAGCCCTTAAGCAGCATGAAAACCATCACTTACATTAATTAAAAACAATTATTTGATAATGCATAACTTCTCCATTAGCACTAAGTTTCAGCACCTGTTGCGCCGCAAAAAATGCCAAAAAAACGACATTGCAATGCAGTGTTTCGTAAGAACTTTGCCAGGCGATTCAGTTCGATATTCTATCTGAAATTTTATACTCGGTCAGTTGTTTTTAAATGTCCCCAGTAAATGTTTTCTGGGCGTTTCTTTTAGCATTCTGCAAGGTTG